AGTTATAGAGTGCCATAATTTTGCAGCATTGTACGGGATATCTGCTCCCTGCCAAAATAGGAAATGCAAATTCAAAACGATAGAACGATATTCGAAGATGAAACGAAATAAGGCTTTTATAGGAATACTGCAAAATGTGCATTCAGACAGTAAAATATTACTCTCGGTGTCTTCGTGCATGCTTTTTGCGTGATCATCGCAATAACCTTCAATTTTGCGGACGTATTTCGGGATTAGTTTTGTGTGCTAAATACACATATACCAGGGAACTTGGTATATTGCTTTTTATTATACATGTACTTCCTGACCATGCCAGCCAAACGGATTCGCGCTTTGCAGGTAAACATATTCCTGTGCTAACTTGTTGACATATTCGTATGTCTACGTCCATCCTCCGTGGAAAGGATGACACATACCAGAGTTGGCGCATGCGCACTTACCATTGTTGACTCGGAGATCGAACCGATATTACTGACAAACACATCGCATATTACTGTTGTAGGCGTCTCTTCTAAGAATCAAATAAGAAAATACAGTATAGTTCATTTATTATGATGTTTTATGAAGAACATTATCTAAAGTCAATGCGCCAACTGTCAGCGCTCTCCACCTATTATGCCTAACAAACACCTTCGCAGAAAGAAGAGATAACCCAAGATTTCACTTACCACTGAATGTAGGTGTCAGTCTTCTATCGTAGTTTATAAAAAGTTCTTCAATGAACAAGGACACATGAGACATGTTCAGATTCTCTGTCGCGTTATCGTAATGGACCTCACTGCAAGACACAACGTGCATTGTGATAGCGGCCATATTGATTTCGCAGCGTTGCAAATTGGGCAAATAACACCGATGTTGATAATGACGAATGTCACTTTCATAAATTACCTGTCATTACAAATAACATGGTTATTAACTTAACAAATGGGGAAAAGTAATTGCAAGTTTAATATATAAAAATATGGCTCCGTAAAACATTAATATGGCCACCGATCGGCCACCTTGAGTTGCATCGTAAAACGAAAGAATGATCATATGTGCGACATGATGATATACGAAGTTTGAAAGTGGTCCGTTGAGGCATGTCAGAGATATCGCTCCGAAATTGCATTCGTAAACATAATGGTAGCCAGTCGGCCATTATATCCGCACGAAAGTCAATCTATAGGCCTCGATTTCGGACTGTTTTCATATATATATAATATGTGGTTACCCGCGATCAGTGACATTTGATTTTGTTTACATTGATGTGTTCTATATTTACATTTGGAGTTTTGATATTTATAATGAATATATTATAATTTTAGTACATGCATGCACCACATAAGTATCCATTATATGTAACGAAATGATTTCACACACTGTTATTCAGGAACCGCAAGATCAGACTCATTACATACAGCTATCCTGGACAGCTATCAAATCAAAAGCTATCAGCTTACAAAAATATAAATCAATTCGATGACAAAGATTCGGCAAGAATAGCCGAGGAGGTGAGGAACTTCATTACAAAAAATATTTTATATAAAGTATATAGCCAGGGGAACATTGCACGCAAAGTACGTAACGGAGGTCGATGCGGTACTGTACTGGCGAATGTTCGAATGTGACGTCAATAACCTCGTACGCGAGAATGTTTTGACGTAGTTTACCCAATAAATAATATTATCATTACTATACACATTGCTTAGACAAATCAATGAGCAACATTTCCAATGCACAAAGCAGGTGACAGGTGATTTGAAGTGAATAATTCAAATCCGTGGACCAATTGTGTCGGCAATAGGCCAAATGTGTTGATGGCGTTGGTCGTCGCCATGTTCTTCGAAAGCTGTTTTGATTCTGTACTGTTCTATTATTATCTATAATGATCTTTTATATCATTAACATTGTCAATAAATAAACATTGTAAATAAATAAATAAATATTCTCAGTTGTACATATGCCACATACTTTCCATTCAATTATGCATACATTCAGAACGCAAATGGTGTCCTAGGCAGTTTCCCACCATCTGTTCCACCACCTCGCACATATTTGATTCATTCCTTTCCACCTACCCAAACCACCACATCTCACCTATTTGACCCACCACATCTTCCTTACCTGTCACCTACTTGATTCAACTGGTCTTCCCTACCAAATCCACCACCTCTCACCTTCCTGATCCACCACCTCGTAGCTCCCCGATCCACTACATGCCACCTACTTGATTCACAACCTCTCACTTTCCTGATCCAGAACCTGTCATCTACTTGATTCACCACCTCCCACCTTCCTAATCCACCACCCATCACCTTCCCGGTCCACTACATGCAACTTTCCAGATCCACCACCTGTTAGCTCCTCGATCAACTACTTGCCACCAACTTGATTCACGACCTCTCACCTTACCGATCCACTTTATGCCACCTACTTGATTCCCCACCTATCACCTTCCTTATTCACTACCTCTCACCTTCCCTATCCACTACATTCCACCTATTTGATTCACGACCTCTCACTCTCCCTATCCACTACATGCCACCTACTTGATTCACAACCTCTCACTTTCCTGATCCAGGACCTGTCATCTACTTGATTCACCACCTAGCACCTTCCTTATCCACCACCACTCCACTTCCATATCCACTACATGCCACCAACTTGATTCACGACCTCTCACCTTCCCGATCCACTACATGCCACCTACTTGATTCCCCACCTCTCACCTTCCTTATCCACTACCTCTCACTTTCCCTATCCACTACATGCCACCTACTTGATTCACAACCTCTCACTTTCCTGATGCAGAACCTGTCATCTACTTGATTCACCACCTAGCACCTTCCTTATCCACCACCACTCCACTTCCATATCCACTACATGCCACCAACTTGATTCACGACCTCTCACCTTCCCGATCCACTACATGCCACCTACTTGAT